CTCCCCTATCTCTGGGACTCACTGGTGCCTTAGTGCAGCCTGGGCTGCCATAATCAAATACCAGAAACCGGGTGGTTTAAAAAACAGAAATTAATCTTCTTACAGTTCTGGAGGCTGGGTATCCAAAATCAACTCCAAATCATGTTCTGAGTCTCATTCTAGATGAATGCAACAGATTTCTAACTCATCTCCGTTTTCTAACTCTCATGGCTCCAGCCTAACCTGCATAGAAAGATGAATTAGTATTTCAAAAACAGGATACAACCCCCATTCATATTAAATGAAACAAGGCAGACACAAAAGACTATCTACTGTATGATTTGGCTAAAATTCTACAAAAAGAAGGCAAAACTATAGTGATAGAGATCAAAGGTTGCCAGGGGGATGTGAGAATGAGACTAAGTATAAAGAGGCATGGGAGTCTTTGAGGGGTGGAACTGTGTTATTCTTTGTGTTGGTTACACAACTATAATCATGTTAAAATTTAATGAACTGTTTCATTTAAAATGGGTAAATATTATTATATGCAGATTATACTTTAAGATGATCAAAACAATCTCCATCCAGTAACATTCAGTGTATTCCTCACTGTCCACTGCAAAAGGCCCATTTACTTCAAGTCCTCTCAGATTTGAACTGAATCTACTTTTTCAGCCTTATTTTCTATTAATCCACTATACACAGTTTATTCACTGGCTACTTCTTTCACGTGTCATGTCCCCAGTCCTTTCTTTCTGATCATTCCTTTTTCTCTTTATTGGAAACATTCCCCCACAACTGCCATCTACTTATCACAGTTTCAGTGTTCCTTTAAACCTCAGCTCAAATGTTCTCTCTTTTGTCTACTTCTCTCTGGCCTTTTTCTGTGTATCTCTCATGACGGTTACCACACAGTGTCCTGTTCATAGTAATCTACATATTTCATTCTCCTTTCCTCTTTTCACCTTTGCATCAGACAGGGTGGCTAGCCATAAAGTATGTACTAGAGGCTGTGAGACTAGATTAGAAGGAAGACAACAAGGAAGAGGACAGACTTGTTAGGAGACCAAAAGAACTAGAGACAGCCAGAATTTAGGCTCTATTAATAGGATGGACTCCTTGGACTGCAAGGAGAGAAAACCAGTCAATCCTAAAAGAAACCAACACTGAATACTCATTGGAAGGACTGATGCTGCCGCTGAAGCTCCAATACTTCAGCCACTCGATGAGAAGAGCCGACTCACTGGAAAAGACCCTGATGCTGAGAAAGACTGAAGGCACAAGGAGAACGGTGGCAGAGGATGAGATGGTTTGATAGCCATCACGGACTCGATGGACATGAAACTGAGCAAACCCTCGGAGATAGTGAAGGACAGGGATGTCTTGCGTGCTGCAGTCCATGGGGTTGCAAAGACATGGACGCAACTTGGGGCTGAACGACAATAGAATGGAAAAGAGGGAGTGAATTTGAGAGATGTTAAGAAAGTAGAGCCAAAAAGACTTGGTTAGTGATTGGATCCAGGCCACAGGAAGAGGTAGGAGTGCAGGATTATCCCCAGATTTCAGGCTTGGGTGACTGGGTTGATGGGGTATATTGGGATTCCAGAAGGAAGAGGACTGGAGTAGGCCTGGTAGAAGGGAACACTGAGAAGGGGATGAGTTCAGTTTTAGATGTATTAATTTGAAATATATCTGGAATATGCAAACAAAGACATTGCAGTCGTAGATAAGAGCAGCTCAGGAGAGAGGTGTGACCAAAGGTATAAATGTGTAATCATCAACACATACATGATACTTCAGATAATCTCAGGAAGATATGAACTCTTCTAGGAATGTTTAGTGGAGAAGGAAATGGCAACCTACTCCAGTATCATTGCCTAGAGAATCCTGTGGACAGAGGAGCCTGGTGGGCTGCTGTCCATAGGGTCGCACAGAGTCAGACACGACTGAAGTGACTTAGCATGCATGCATGCATTGGAGAAGGAAATGGCAACCCACTCCAGTATTCTTGCCTGGAGAATCCCAGGGATGGAGGAGCCTGGTGGGCTGCCGTCTATGGGGGGGTCGCACAGAGTCGGATATGACTGAAGCAACTTAGCAGCAGCAGGAGGAATGTTTAGAGGGCTCAGGACAAAGATCTGGCAAATACATACATTTGGGAGTTGAGCAGATACAGAGGAGTTTAAAAAAGAGACCAGGAAGAAATGTTTAAAGAAGTAGAATGAGAAACTAAAGACAGCATAACCGAAACCAAAACAGAAGATTTCCATAAGTAGTACTCGTTACTGTCAAAGGTTGTAGACAGTTCAGATAAAATGAAGATTGCAAATCATCTGCTGGATTTGGTAATGTCTCTTCAACATAAACTTCAATAACCCAAAAATTAAGATGAATGTCTAGCAATGTCAGACAGATGACTAACTGTTGAAATATGCTTTCTTCTTTGTATCTAATATATATTTAACCATTTATAAGAGTACAACTCAGTGACATTAAATATTCACAATGCTGTATAACCAAAACACTATGGCCCAAACTTTTCATCATCCCCAGTATTAACTATGTACCCACTAAACAAACTTTCCCTTCCGCCTTCCCTCTAGACCTTGGTGACCTCTAATCTACTTTCTGAATTTATGAATTTGCATACTCTGCATACCTAGTGTAGGTGAAATCATATAATATTTGTCCTTCCGTGTCTGTCTTGTTTCACTAAGAATAATGTTTCAAGGTCCACCCATGTTATGGCATATATCAAAATGCTGTTCCTTTTTAGGACTGAACAGTACCTCACTACGTGTACAGAACAACCTTTGTTCATCTATTCATCAATGGACAGCTAAGTTGTTTCTATCTTTTGGCTATTGTGAATACAGCATGGATGTGCAGATATCTGTTTAAGTCTCTGTTTCATTATTTTGGATTTATATGTAGGAGTAAAATTGCAAGGTCACATGGTAGTTCTATATTTTACTTTTCGGGACGTTGCAAAACTGTTTTCCATAGCAGCTGTATCATTTTACATTCCTACCAGAAACATGTGGTTCCAATTTCTCCACACTGTCACCATAAGTTATTATTTTCCAGTTTTTCTTAAACTACAGAGATGGTATGAAATGGTGTGCCACCGTGGTTTTGATTTTTATTTCCTTAATGATTAGTGACGTTGAGCATCTTTTTAAACGTATGTTGGTCATTTGTATATCTTCTTTGAAGAGATGTCTATTTGAGTTGTTTGCCCATTTTTGAATTGGGTTGTTTCTGTTGTTGAGTTGTAATTTTTTTGTATTCTGGATATTAATTCTTTTCAGATATATGATCTACAAATATCTTTCCCCATTCCATAGGTTATTTCTTTCACTTTCTTGATAATGTTCTTGGATAAACAAAATTTCTTAATTTTGATGATGTCTTATTCAAGTATTTTTATGTTTGTTGGTTGTGCTTTTGCAAGAAATCACTGTCAAATCCAAGGGCATAAAGATTTTCTCCAATTTTCTTCTAAGAGTTTTACAGTTTTGCCTCTTTAAGTTTAGGTCTTTGATATACCTACAGTTAGTTTTTGAATATGGTATAAGGTAAGGAAGGGGTCCAGTTTCATTCTTTTGCATGTGGATATCCAGTTTTCAAAGCGCCGCTTGTTGAAAAGACTGTTCTTTTCCCCACTGAATGGTCTCAGCACGCTTGTCAAGAATTACTTAAGCATACGTGAGGGTCTATTTATGAGACTGCTGCTTTTGTGTGAGACACTATAAGGAAATCTTTCCTTTCAGATTTTTGTGCTTAGCTAAAACCTTCAAAGGAACATTTTACCTCCAGATTATAACAACTTTTAGAAGTCTCCATCATCTTGGCTGGTTGATCTGCTTATTAGACTGGGCTTGGCACAGTGACATAACTGAAATATTTCACGAGTGAGCAAAATCCCAAAGTTTTATATTCTAGAAAGAATTCCAGACACAGGTCCCTGTATCCTCTATTGGTATATTCTCACCTAGGATGCTTCACTATATAGATGGGTTACCTCTCATGAAACTGGAAAAATCACACAAGCAGGGCAACCTTGTCACAGTTAAAAAGTGGCATGTTTACATTTATGCTGTATGAGATACTACTTTTTGAATAGCTAGTATTTGCACACTTTCCACAATTCAAAGGTACAGAAAGGTACAGCATGAAAACAAAGCAGTACTTTAAAAAAACCAGAGCTTTAACACATAAGCCAAAATTTGCACATACTGAATACAAAATAATGTTTGGTCTATCATCCTTCCTCTCCAGAAAACCTCTTTGTTCTCCAAACTTCCCCTTCTTTCCCCAAATCACATGGTTACAGTGAGAACAACCACTTTCACTTGTGAAAAGTCAGCCACTGGCTGACTTAGCTGTGGACACCAGATCCAAGCTGGGCCAATGAGCTTTCTTCTTAAGAAATTTGAAACTAAGACTAAGAAACTGTATTCTCAGTTTAGTTATTCTCTTGAACTGAGTAGCTGCTGGGAGCGGTTACTTTCTGCCCAGTGGACTCAGAAGGGAGTATGGAGACAGAAAACAGTTCAGTATCGGCCAGAGACAAGAGAACAAAGGAGACTATCTGGTTTCCACAGTGCTTAATCCTGAGGTCCGTCTTCCTCCAATGGCCAGCAGCATCACTGCCCTAGAGAGCCTAACCTGTTCCCTGCACCTTACTAACAACACACCCTACCATCTGTTTAGGCTGTTTAAGTAGGTTTCCATTGTTTGCATCAAAGTAGGTCTTAATTCATTTATTTTTTCATGTGAATAATGGAATCAAATACATGAGCAAATATAATCAATCACTGCCAAGGGGCTGTAAATCTCTTTTTAAAACCCATATATATTGATGGTCAATACAGCAATTTTATTCATTGTTGAAATATTCTTTATTACTGTTAATGAAGAATTATAAACAATAATATGCATCTTTAATTTTTTTCTCAGGAACAGAAACACTTTCTTTGAGACCTCAGACATTAAGAGAGGAGTTTAACTATACTCACTTGTCAGGGGTTCCTTCTCTAAATTGGAATCTTCTGGCGCATCAAAACGACCTTCTGGTAACTTTGGCTTCTTAAGAGGTTGTTTGCTAGGTTCAGGTTTTCCTCCTTGAGAACTTATTTTCCTCAAAGAATTACACAGAAGGGGTGATCCTGGCAGAGTGAAGACTGTGAAAAAAACAGAAGCTATTCATTTATTCTACTCCAAAATTTAATATTTTTACTTACTTGTTTTAACCTTCTACATTCACATTTATCAAAATTTTAAGTACAAAAGGAAACATAGTGACAATTCCTCCTTTTGCCCCTTTCAGACAGCCAGTTCCCTTCTTTGGCGGCAACCGATGCTATCAGTTTGAAAAGAAGAGCTTTGAAATAAGTTAATCAATATCAAAATTGTAAAAACATATATAATGATTCTTATTTGAAACAATGCCCAAATACCAGGAATCAGGTTACTAAGAGTAACAAGGTAGTAGGAACTTTTAAATGATAATACTTAGTATTTAAATTTCAAGATGTCACAAAGAATTTTATATTCTAATAATGATCCTCTTTTTCTGTCAATTAAACGTTTTCAAATGTACAGGGCACCTGTTGTTTTAGTCATTAACTCATGTCCGACTCTTTTGTGATTCATAGAGTGCAGTCTGCCAGGCTCCTCTGTCCATGGGATTCTCCAGGTAAGAATGCTGGAGTGGGTTGTCATTTCCTTCTCCAGGGGATCTTCCCAACTCAGGGATCAAATCGATGTCTCCTGCACTGGCAGGTAGATTGTTTACCACTGCGCAACCAGGAAAGCCCATAGGGCACCTGCAATGTATAAATGTGATCACTTTCCATGTTATAATGAGAAAGGAAAATTTACAGAATATTCATTAGAAGGACTGATGCTGAAGCTGAACGTTCAATACTTTGGTCACCTGATGGGAGGAACTGACTCACTGGAAAAGACCCTGATGCTGGGAAAGATCGAGGGTGGGAAGAATTGGGGACGACAGAGGATAAGATGGTTGGATGGCATCACCAACTCAATGAACATGAGTTTGAGTAAGCTCTGGTGAAGTTGGTGATGGACAGGGAGGCCTGGGGTGCTGCGGTTCATGGGGTTGCAAAGAGATGGACACGACTGAGCGACTGAACCACAAAAACAAAAGTTTTCAGTATTATGAAAGTTATCTAACCCTTATTGAGATAATGTTCAATAAGGGCAAAACCACTCTGAAAAACCACCTCTGGGATGGGGGGTTTCAAGTCTGTGAAGGAATGGCTTTAGAGACAGAGGTGGGTACTAGTTCCAGTCCACCACTGTGGCAGCACTTTAACGGCCCTGACGTAGGGTGAGAACCTAATATCCAGAATCTTTGTGTGGGTTAGGTCAGATGGTGGAAGAGAATTAGGTAGCAGGTGGAACTGAGGTTGCTAATCAGATGACCCTGATCGAGGGAGACTGTCCTGAACGATCTGAGTGGGTGTGCTTTAATCACAAGGGTCCTTAAATGGGGAAGAGAGAATTAGAACAGAGAACCAGAGAGGGGGCAGTGTGAGACAAACTTGACGATGTTGCTGACTCCAACGATGGAGGAAAGGGCCACCAAGATAAGGAAACTGGGCAGCCTCTGTGAGTTGGAAGAGGGAGGAAACAGATTCTCCCCAGGAACCTCCAGAAGAAACACAACCCTAACACCTTGGTTTCCACACAGAGAGGCCCATTTCACATTTCTCACCTACAGAACTATAAGGGTTTTTAAGCCACTGAGTATGTGGTATTTCATCATACCAGCAATAGGAAACTAAAATAACTGCTTACTAGTTGCTTGATCCTTGTTGTTTTCCCTTTTTAAATCCATTTCTTCCCCCTCTAAATTGAAGATAACAGTACCTATCTGATGAGATGACTAAATAGGGCAATTCAGTCAAAGCACCTAGCATAGTGACAAATTGTATCTATTATTATTATAGAATTATCTGGAAGCTCCTGGTAGTATTACATATAATTAGAATTTTCTTTCATTACACATATTTTATTCATTTTCTAACAAGCACTACATCATCCTACCCCTGCTTTAAAAAATTACATATACACACACACACACAGATATACACACATACAAGTATTTGCATGTGTGTATATCTGTGTGTGTATACATATATACACATATATACATATATTCATATACATACATATATTCCCATATATACATATATTCCACAGTCAATTTGGAATTTACATGACTTGTTTGCAAGATTACAAAAAGTTAACATCACAAACTACATTAACAATTTCAAGATAATACATTCTGCATATCCACTGCACAGATCTCAGTGACTGACAACATGGCTGACTCTCTGAATGACCAACTGTAATGCAAATTAGTCTTCTTCCTCAATGAAAGGGCCCATAAAATTCAACGATTAAGAAACTAAATACAGTGAGAATAAGATGGTGGAGGAGTAGGTGGACGTGGAATACACCTCTCCATGGATACATCAGGAATACACCTTCAGACACATAAGTGCATCAGTCCTTCCAATGAATATTCAGGGAATATTTGATGTTTGATGAATGAACGTTTGATCTTCCTGCAGGCCAAGGAACTTTCAAGAGTCCTCCAGCACCACGATTTGAAAGCACTAATTCTTTGGAGCTCAGTCTTTATGGCTCAACTCTCACATCCATACATGACTACTGAAAAACCATAACTTTGACTATACATGCCTTTGTTGGCAAAGTCACGTCCCCACTTTTTAATATGCTGTTCAGGTTTGTCATAGTTTTTCTTCCAAGGAGTAAGTGCCTTTTAATTTTATGCCTGCAGTCACCATCTGCAGTGATCTTGGAACCCAAGAAAATAAAATCTGTCACTGTTTCCAATTTTCTTCATCTATTTGCTATGAAATAATGGGACTGGATGCCATGATCTTATTTTTTTGAATGTTGAGTTTTAAGCCAGCTTTTTCACTCTCCTCTTTCACCCTCATCAAGAGGCTCTTTAGTTTCTCTTCGCCTTCTGCCATTAGAATGGTATTATCTGCATATCTGAGGTTGGTTACATTTCTCCCGGCAACCTTGATTCCAGCTTGACTTACTATTCAATCCAGCATTTTGCATGATGTAATCAGCACCAAAGTGACAATATACAGCCTTGACCTACTTCGTTCCTGATTTTGAACTAGTCCATTGTTCCATGTCCGGTTCTAACTATTGCTTCTTTACCTGAATCTCTTTATCTCTGAGGATACAGTTAAGATGGTCTGGCAGTACTCAGTTGAGTCAAGTTGCTCAGTCTTGTCTGACTCTTTGCGACCCTATGAACTGCAACACGCCAAGCCTCCATGACCATCACCAACTCCCGGAGTTTACTCAAACTCATGTTCATTGAGTGATGCCATCCAACCACCTCATCCTCTGTTGTCCCCTTCTCTTCCTGCCTTCAGTCTTTCCCAGCATCAGGGTCTTTTCGAATGAATCAGCTCTTTGCATCAGGTGGCCAAAATACTGGAGTTTCAGCTTCAGCATCAGTCCTTCTAATGAGTATTAAGGACTGATTTACTTTAGAATGGACTGATTGGATCTCCTTGCAGTCCAAGGGATTCTCAAGAGTCTTCTCCAACAACACAGTTCAAAAGCATCAATTCTTTGGTGCTCAGTTTTCTTTATAGTCCAACTCTCACATCCATACATGACCACTGGAAAAACCACAGCCTTGACTAGACAGACCTTTGTTGGCAAAGTAATGTCTCTGCTTTTTAATGCACTGTCTGGATTGGTCATAACTTTTCTTTCAAGGAGTAAGCATCTTTTAATTTCATGGCTGCAGTCACGATATGCAGTGATTTTGGAGCCCCCCATCTATTTGCCCATAGATGTTTCCCCATCTATTTGCCATGAAGTGATGGGACTGGATGCCATGAACTTAGTTTTCTGAATGTTGGCTTTAAGCCAACTTTTCCACTCTCTCCTCTTTCACTTTAAACAAGAGGCTCTTTAGTTCTTCTTCACTTTCACCATAAGGGTGGTGTTATCTGTATATCTGAGGTTATTGATATTTCTCCCGGCAATCTTGATTCCAACTTGTGTTTCATCTAGCCCAGCGTTTCTCATGATGTACTCATATAAGTTAAATAAACAGGCTGACAATATACAGCTCTGAGGTACTCCTTTTCCTATTTTGAACCAGTCTGTTCTTCTAGGTCCAGTTTTAACTGTTGCTGCCTGACCTGCATACAAATTTCTCAAGAGGCAGGGCAGGTGGTCTCGTATTCCCATCTCTTTCAGAATTTTCCACAGTTTGTGGTGATCCACACAGTCAAAGGCATGGCATAGTCAATAAAGCAGAAGTGCTTTGGAACTCTCTTGCTTTTTTGATGATCCAACAGATGTTGGCAATTTGATTTCTGGTTCCTCTGCCTTTTCTAAAACCAGCTCGAACATCTCCAAGTTCACGATTCACATACTGCTGAAACCTGGCTTGGGAGAATTTTGAGCATTACTTTACTAGCATGAGTGCAACTGTGCAGTAGTTTGAGCATTCTTTGGCATTGCCTTTCTTTGGACTGAAATGAAAACTGATCTTTTTGAGATTGTATCCAAGTACTGTGTTTTGGACTCTTTTGTTGACCATTATGGCTACTCCATTTCTTCTAAGGGATTCCTGCCCACAGTAGTAGACATAATTTAACTCAGGTCATCTGAGTTAAATTCACCCATTCCAGTCCATTTTAGTTTGGTGATTCCTAGAATGTCGATGTTCACTCTTGCCATCTCTTGTTTGACCACTTCCAATTTCCCTTGATTTGTGGACCTAACATTCCAGGTTCCTATGCAATATTGCTCTTTACAGCATCAGACCTTGCTTCTATCACCAGTCATATCCACAACTGGGTGTTGTTTCTGCTTTGGCTCTGTCTCTTCATTCTTTCTGGAGTTACTTCTCCACTGGTCTCTAGTAGCATACTGGGCAGCTACCAACCTGGGGAGTTCAACTTTCAGTGTCCTATCTTTTTGCCTTTTCATACTGTTAATGGGGTTCTCAAGGAAGGAATACTGAAGTGGTTAGACATTCCCTTGTTCAGTGGATCACATTTTGTCAGAATTCTCCACCATGACCCATCTGTCTTGGGTGGCCCTACACAGCATGACTCATAGTTTCATTGAGTTAGACAAG